TTGTGTATATAAGAGAAATCAATCTGAAATGCAGCTGGGTAAACAGGATATTTAGAATGAATGATCTCCATGTGAGTTTACCACCTGAGTCTGCATGAGCATTTAGCTAAACATCATTGTCCAAAGTGTGCCAGTTTCCAGAGATTGTAGGAGAGAGCATAACCACTTTTTAGTATGCAAATATGCTTTGAAGTTAGTTTGGAAGTAGCAGCATAAAAACGTAGTGATGTAGAATTCTTATGGACATTCACTTTTTTTTTGGGAGGGGGGGTTTGTTTGTTTTAAGTGTAAGTCTTAGTTGGGCTTCTTTAGTGTGCTGTCCACAAATGTTTTTCGTTACAATATTGTGCTGAACCTTTGATATTTGTTATTTTTAGCTGCTAGATTCTCTTACATAAGGTCTACAGAGCTCTCCAAAAAAGCTTTATGAAATGTGATCTTAGCCCGAAAGTTTTGCTGTCTGAGACTGCCATTCCAGAAAGCTGAAATGTGTGTTCAGTTGCACTGTGAATAGGTTAAGGGGAGTCTGCCGAAGGTAAATGTAATACAGAGTGGAAAGTAAATGGGAATCACTACAAGTAGAAGACTATGTATGTGTTGTGATTTTGGGGAACATTAAATAACATGAGATCATTTTTTTAATTGAACTTCAGAAACTTCAGCTCTCAACTGCCTATTCCGTTTTTTCCAGTATTTGGTTGTTGATGACGTTATGTGCTGTGTTGTTGAAATCCTGCTAATGCTTACTGCATTTACAGTTTGAGACACTGCTGCCCCTCTGCTGTCTTGCCTCTAAAAGCTTTTAAGAAAAACAGTAATTGACATGTCAAAATCTCTTGCCTCACTCTGGAAAGGGTTTGCCACCATACAAAGCACCTTTGCTGCATGAGTTGTTTCTCCACCAGGATAAATATTATAAACAGTGAAAAAATTTCCCAGTGTGATTATACTGACATTGACTTTTGTACAGAATTAAATTTTTGCTGTGTGCCTTAACTGACAGTAGATACTGCCAACAACAAGGGCACATGGTGCACGGCTACACTTGTGTCTATCCTCCTGTTGCAGGCAGGGTATGTGCAGTCTATATATACCTGTTTTATCTGGAAGTGGAAATGTACTGAAGTAAATGACACTGACCCGCTGTATCCTAAATAAAAGTGTCCCTATGTGGTTTGATGGAGCATAATAATTTTAAAACCACACCTGCAGTTAGTAGAATTCTCTTTCTACATGTACAGGTGAATCCTGAAAGAGTTCAACTGTAATTGTTTTTGAAAATTCTTACAGTAGTTATGAAGTAGTTACTGTGTTATTTTTACTTATGTCTTATTGACTACAAGGATATGTTCTGAAGAGGTATCCTGCATCTGGTTTTTGATGCTTTCGTAATAATACTATTTTAAATGGATCGGAAATTACAAATTTACATAACCTGTGTTTCTGAATGTAGTTTTAGTTTTTGTTTACAAGTATTAATATTTATTTTTGAGGAATACTGTTTTTCACCAAGGGAGTAGCAAGGGGGAAATCACAGAATCTCCGTGAGTATTAGTATAGCTACTGGCTAAGAAATAACTATAGTTGGTTAGAGAATTTCTGTATGTGTAAGATGTGTGATCTTGTTTGAGATGCATATTTAATTATCGTTAAACACTCATTTTGCAGGTCCATGAGATCTTTGAGTGTCAGGAATGTGACAAGAAATTTATTTCAGCTAACCAGCTAAAACGACATATGATAACTCACTCAGGTAACGTACAAAAATAACATAAACCTAGATATGTGTGTGTATGTATTAATGTATATCGAATTTCACCTGAATTAGTTTCTTAATGGAATGCTTGATGAATTCTCTGTTGTTCTGAGCTGTTCAAGCAAATCTCAGGTTCCAAGGAAAACATCTAAGCTATCATTTCTAAATCTTCCAAAAATTCAAGTGTAATGCTATAGTCATCTTCCTATTGCTGCTTTGTCAAGCTATTTTTTTGTGCAAACTGGGGTAGATGATGTCAGTTAGCTGGAATGGGGCAAGAAGGTTGCTACTTGGTTTAAAGAGCAGGTAAAGAGCTGGTGGTTGAAATTTCATATTGAAGGGAAGAGAGTGGGAGCTGGGGTACGCTGTCAGATAGAGATCTGTGATAAAAAGGGAAATACTCATGTATCTATTTTACTCGACTCATGTGCATTTAGTTTCCACTCAGAGGAAAGCAGCTCATACTCCAGTCCTAGACCACACACCGCTGTTTCACTGTGCCTGTCCTCTGCCAGCACAGGTCACTGTGAGCGGGGAGCGGCCTGTCTGTAGGTTCTGCGATATGACAAAAATTGCCTCTGCCAGGATTTCTGGTCACTGCAATTTAGTGTTTCTGTGTCTTTCACCAGTGATTAGAAACACCAGCCAACACAATGGAAACACAAACATCGTTCTCTCAAATACATTAGCATTTAAAAAAATACAAGTTTTTACAGCTCCACAGGCTTATAATTGAACTATTTTCTTGGTATCAGTCCACACTAAAAGCTTATTTCTTGTAATGTAATCTATATCTCAGAGGCTTCTAGCTTGCTTTTGACACTTTTGAATAAGCATTAATGTAGTTAAGTTGCAGTCACCAGTTGAAGCATAAAGGCTTTTTGCATAGGAACTTTTGGTTTTGAAAGCTAGTATGTGTATTGTTAATTAAGTTTTAAAACATTTAAACTGTCATGCCCTCTTTCACATTTGTAATCTGGAAACAGGGTTTTCCTCTTTGAAGTCATTCTCTTTTGATTTAAGCTAATTAATCAGAATTTAGTTTTAGCAATGATTATTGCAAAGAATGTGCCAATTTCCTGAAATACACCATGGCTCATCTTTTGTGAAGTGACTTAACTGTCTAACATAAAGGGCATTAGATGTCTTTCTAATTGGTTTAATCTTAATTGGGTTGACTTAATTGCAGAAATCTCTCTGAGGAGATGACTGTCTCTGCCTTTCATCTTCTCCCCCTGTATAAACAGGAGATTAAATGTCCCCCACTCATTTTCTGCAGAAAAACGCCCCTACACCTGCGAGGTTTGCAATAAGTCCTTCAAACGACTTGATCAAGTGACTGCACACAAAATAATACACAGTGAAGATAAACCTTATAAATGCAAGCTTTGTGGAAAGGGATTTGCCCACAGAAATGTTTACAAGAATCACAAGAAGGTAAAGCACTCTGCTGTTGTTGTTTACAGGTCTGCCAGCCTCAGATTTGCAGATTTTTTCCTTTCAAATGGTTCATCATTAAGCTCTGGCATGCTTATAAACATGGAATTAAAGTATTGGTGAATGTATTTTTTTAGTTTTCTTTGTTATAACCAAAATATCAAAATACTAAATGAATTACAGTTAAAAAAAAAACTTAAGCAGAAGAAAATCACAATTGCTTGTTTAAAAGCATAAAATAAAATCCCCATTTTGACTTTTCTGGGTTTTTGTTCTTGTGTTGGTTTTTAAATATCAGGTTATCAAGTTTAAAAATTAACTGATCTAAAATGTCTTCAAATTTTATTATTTTTTTTCCAAATGCCCTATTTGAGTAAAACTAAGCGTAGTCCTGTTGCAGTCATTGTTGGACTTAGCAGCAGATGCTTTCAAACTATGCTGGATTTGCAGTGAGTTGTGTTCACACATTAAAACAACATCAGAAGAAACATTACCTGAGAAATAGGCTTATGAAGGGATGCTCTGCTTCTGTTGGTTTAAGCTCAAATCTGCTTGGCCTAATTTCTATAATGCCTGTCATTATTTTTAACCTGGGGTTACATTTTTAATGGCAAGGCTATATCCATGACTGCTGTTTCAGAATTACAAGACTGTAAAAGAGAAAGAAAGAAAAATAATTACCTGTCTGGTTTTGTGCTCAGTCTTTAGAACCCTTTACTCTTTTTTCTTATTTTTTTGTCTTCATGTTTTTTAAGTACCCCCTCCTTCTTTCCCCCTTTTGATGAAACTGATATGCTCATACTTACAAGTCTTTTGCAGTTTGGCTCATGTAATATGCCATCTGGGAATTTGACACAAGATCTTTGCACCATCTCTTGCACTTTCAGCCATAAATCATGTAAGAGTCGTAACAGTGCCTCTCGTAGGATGAAATGGTGATGACTGTCTGAAACAGAAAGCATGCAGAAGCCTGCTGAAGGACAAGATTAGCTCCCATATATGCTGTGATTGTATCTTATCTTTTGAACTTCATTAAGGAAAGGAGCAGATTCTCACAAATTTGATATATTCTAAGGAAAATGTATAAAATATTACGTGGAAAGATACTTCTTTACCTCAAATGAATACTTTTTACATGTTTCCCTATGTTAATTTGTAGTTGATGCCTATTAGGGAGTTTGGGCTGAAAGCGGACTTCAGGATTAAGTATGAATGGGTAAACACTTTGACCCAATTCTGTGTTAAAGCAGCAGCGCCACTAGCATAAGCAAGGATTAGAGGTTCTGCTTAATGGGAAAAAATACTGAAGTTTAGACAGATTTAGTGAGTACCTAATTTTGACAGAATTCCTTAAAGCATGTTGGAATACTTATTTCCTGAACCTGTTTGCACATAGTACTGGCTGTAAATCAGCCCTGTCCTATAATGGAAGAAACTCCTGTATTTACATAAACTTTACCCAAACAGATGTGAGTATTCACCCATCCACATTTATGTCTCTAATTTCACTCGCTAAATGAAGAGATGAGCATGAGAGACAGGGGACTGACATAGATGTCCTGGATTGCTATTTTTCACACCTCTCTCTCCATTGAGTAAACAATGTAAGCAAGGAGAGGTAGTAGATAAGAGAGGGTAGTGTGGATGTGTATACACAAAACCACTTGTAAGGTGCAAGTCAAGGATGTGGTAGTCTGGGATGCCAAAATAGTTTTAAGTGCCATGATTCTGCGAGGCCTGCACTTCTACTAGGGAAGAGGACGATAGTTCTTTTGATTGTTCACAGGGATGTCAATCAGTGACAGTGGAAATTTGAACCTTTATTGTGTATCATACTTCCATGTATTTCTTCAGCTCAGGTTTTTAATGATTCTTTAGATGTGTATTCCTTTAAGACATCATCCTACATTTCACTTTTGTTTGGAGGTAGAAAAGTTGGACTTTGAATACTTTTACAGTGCTTTTTCAAGTTCCAGGATGCAGGAAACTTAGAAACTTGCAGTAGCAGTGATGGGTATAGAACAGTTAAATCAACAGCATTTAACAGAAAACATGCCTTCAACTTTGCTAGCTTTGCTTTAAAAACCTCTTTGGGTTTTACAGCAGATCTGCGTACTTTTGATTTATAATAAGAAGCATGATACATATACATTTTGTGCCTTTGAATTCCTGTTTTGTGTATCAGATGGACTCTTGTTGCTGTTGTTTCTGTGATTCCTTCATGGGGTTTTTTTAACCTGATTTTGTGTTGGAAGTATCAGAATAAAAATGGCTCCCACAACGCGTGCTTTTAAACATCTTTCAGATATGGGTGAAAGTTGGGTCATTTAAAAGACGCAGAACGAGATTAGTTCCTCACATTTCACAGTATTTCACACTAGGAGATAAACAGTGGAGTTGCTAAGAGTATATCTGCTCTGTTTGATGAAACATTGTGATGTGAACCCTAGTTTAGCACTCATTACATCCTTATAGCTACAGATCTGAGGGGTGGGAACTGTGTCTTCATGTGGTTCCGCTCTGATGTACTGCCTCTGCACACTATTACTACACTGCTCTATGTAGGTGCACGTGCAAACTTGCCTTGTCACTTGAAGATGTCAGCACTGAGAAGCGTTACGTGATGTGAAACTAGCTTCAGATGTCTTTTGAAAGAGCTCAGACTAAATGACTGAGTGATCCGATAAAGAACACTGTTCCATTTTTGTGTAAAACCAGGACACAAGGGAAAAGGATAGTATCTGAAATTAAGATGCAAATGTAGTATTGGATTGTATTACAGATAAGAGTGGTTGCCTTTCATCCAGGTTAAATTGGATGAAGGTGCATGTTCTGTGCTGTATAATACAGATTACTTCCATAAGGAGAAAGCAAAGGTTTTGTTCCATCTGCTCCTTTGTTGCTATGTATAGAGGATGAATTCAGAGAATAAAATATGAGGATATGACAGTGAGCAGAAATAGGTCAGCAGACACAGGATTTTAAAGGGTTTATGGTTAATCCATGGTTATTTGGTCCTGGGGAGCACAATGATTTGAAACAACTGTATTCTCTTAGTTTCTCTATTGGGAATAAGTAGCCTTGGGCTGGCTTTAAACTTCTGCAAATGCTATGGTAGGAAAGGCTGCTGTGAAATATTCTGTAAGAGCCCATACTCAGCTGCCTTGATCATATGGCTGTCCCCTGCTCTGGAGGGAAGCCGTCTCTGATCTGGAACCCATTAGTAGGACTAAAAAGGACAGTATTGGAATTAATATGCTTTTTTGAGGGTATACCTCTCCTCATTAAGATTTGCATGACTTTTTGTAATAGACTTAGCTTGTTTCTAGACCATCCACAGAAAAGGCAGATGATCTGTGTATCCTTGCATGTGATTAATGCCTAGTTATATGGTTTTCTCTGTAGTGAAGTTAAGAAATGCAGACAAATACTTGTATTTCGATCAAAAGACTAGGAGAACTGTTGTGGAGATGCTAAGAGGAAATTCTGTGCAGATCACTGCTCTTCAGGACAGTCACTCAAGTGGTGAATGTTCTGAAGCAGGGCATTTTTTAAAATAAGCAACATGAATTTTGCGCTCGTGAAAACTGCCAGATTGACAGCCCTAGAGACTGAACCCTTCTATTTATCCACAGAACAGGTACAGCACAGACAGCAGCACTGCGAGCTTCCCCACAGTGTCTCGTCAATATGTCTCAACCCTGTTCTGGAGGAACCACCTATTGAGGTGAGAAGGTAGTTCAGTCTCTTCATGTCCTGTCAATCCTTGATCTGACTGCTGAGACCGCCAAGCAGGCTGTCAACTAATGCAAACTGTCATGTAAACCTATGGAAGCTGGACTGAAGTGTTCAGCAGATTTTATATAACAGCTGATATATTGCACACATTTAATGGCTCTCCAGTTGCCTTTTTGCTTTAAGTGACATAGGCTGAGGTCAAGGAATTGTCTTTGAATCCAAAGCCTCTATACACCATTGCAAGTGCTCTAATGATTTGGTAGTGTTGTGCATGTGAGAGAACTTTTGTGTTCAAATTAATTTGGGTTCTACATCTAAATAATTATGCTGACTCTCCAGAGTCCCTTTTGTCTCCCCAGTTTAAGAGATATCTATAAATGTTGTGTGGTGTTATGAATAGCAGAAATGGGTTAAATAAGTATGTACTATGCTAATATTTACACTTAGTCTACAAAAATAACTAGTTTAGCAAATCTTGTGCATATTATAAAACACTTACTGTCCATCCCCTTTCCTCTTGGCACTGCAGCTTCTACTTAAGGTCCTTGTGAGCTAATACAGTGTTTAAGGACTGATGCTTTAAAAACTTGGTTTCCTTTGCAAAAATAGTAGGACGTAAGGTAGAAATAAATTGTATGCATGAATTTACTATCTACAGTGGGACAGCACTTAATAATAGTAGGAAACAG